CACCTGTGAGGCCAGACAATGTGTAAAGGTCTTTGCTGATAGTCCTGTTCATTCAAGATATTAGAGAGGTTAAAAGTCAGATGTTGCTTATCTTCTTCTTGACAAGGATTTGTACTTTCTGATGCTTCAGACTCGTTCAATCTTGCTACTGCTGTTAATGAGGAAGGCAGCCCCTCGTGCTGTGTGGTATGAAGTCTAGGCTGGGTTTCACAAAGTCCAGACTTGCTAGCTGCACTGCTGGTTTTCATTAAAGCTCTGAACTTCTGCTGGCCGGGCAGACCCACCGTTTGATAAGCATCTCCATTTCTTTTAACACCAATTACTTTTTCAAAATGGGCAAGCTTATGTTCTGGCATGAACCTGTTAGGGAAAAAAAAAAGATTGCATTGTATTGACACAGGATTTCAGTTTCACTTGGTAATTGTTTATTAATTAATAGCTATCAGACCCCACTGGTGCTTCCATTCAATGTCCACGCAGAAAACCCTTCCCAACAGCAGGATGCATTTGTACAGTTACATTAAGGCCACTGAACTAATTTCTGTAATATATGAAATGGAACATTTTATGCAGATCTGGTTTTACTATTTGATTTGAAGTAGTAATGAATTACAGACCCTGCCCAGGAAACACTTGAGTGAAGCTTTTTCATTCAACCATGACTCTTCTAAATTAACACTGAGAGGACTACATGCATGGCCACCATGGGTTCCTCACTTTAAATGCTTGCCTGGACCTCAAGTTAATTTACCCGAATATTATTTACTTACATGCCTTTCAGTGTGATTATGGTTGTCCCAGATAAGCAGAGACATTTAAATTTTCTGTTTCCTCTTAATTTCCAAATGTTTACCCACTATAACCTCTTTATTAAACTGTTTACTAAAGCCAACACTTGCTCCATTTTATCAACCTCCTCCACAGTTTTTCAGTGTTTTACTCCATCACAGCTCATTTCTGGGCTCTGAACAAACCACTCCCTTCCCTCCGTCAAAACAAATATTCTTAAACACCAGAATCATCCAGCTCACCCTGCAATGGACCACCTTTAAACACAAACTCTCCTTCCTCAAAATCACTACCAAAATACAAACACACACACACACACACACTATGTGAGCGTTACTGCAGTTGTACACTTCAGTTGTACTCTTGACTAATTGCTTTGAAGATTTTTCTTCAAACCTCTGAATCTCCTTTACTAAGTCTGCACACTGCGTAAATATTCCATGTGATGTGTACTCTTTGATTTGGCGTTCCATCCCTTGGTGTATTTTTTTCATGTTTGTCTATACTAAGCTGCATTTTCAAGCCACTGACCAAATCACCTATGAGTTTTACCATTTTTCCACTGCTTGCTGTCACCCGTTGGTGATCTCTGTAGATCACAGAATCATAGAATCCTAAAATGGTTTGGATTGAAATAAACCTTAAAGATCATCTAGTTCCCACCTCCCTGCCACAAGCAGGGACACAGGCTGAACTAGGCTGCTCAAAGCCCCATCCAACCTGGCCTTGATAAAACCAGAAAGAATTCTATCACACTCAACAACCTCATCTGAATCTGTTACCTATGTTACAAACAAGACAGGTTCCCAAACAAATCCAACTTAAAACATTCCCATCTCAGCAACTTACCCACCCTCAGATTCTCAGAACATAAAAGCATAAATACAGTGTGGCTGAATTACTTACACATATGCTCTGAAATGTTAAGTGTGCATTCTGACAGTCCAAGCTGAATTATAGACCTAAAACCAGCTGGTGGTGGAACCTCTAAAGTATGGACACATCCCTGCACAGATATATATCTAAGCATGGGAAAAGCTGAAGGAGAAATAGGTTACAGGATTTGCCCTAAACCACCAAGTCAAAGACCGAATTGAGAGGACCAATAAACCAAATTTAACTAACAGATTTTGAAAACTCATTGCTGTTAAGAATTGCCTGATATGTGAAAGGCTGGACTACCTAGGCAGGCTATATCCCCCTGCCTGTCTTTAATCTCCCAGCCAATCACCCACTCAGTGCACCATTTCTATTTCTGAAGAGGTTTCCTTCTTAGTTTTCAGCCCTATAAATCTGATCCGTCACTGCAGAATTTCTAATAATAGTAGATAAAACTCTACCGATCTCCCTCTGGAATAAACTATTTAATATCCTTTATTTAAGACATGTGTGTGCAATCAATTCCATGGTATTTACTTGTATTACACACACAGTATTCATCATCTTGACAATTTTTAAAAGTTTTAGAACACCATTTCACTTAACAGTTTTATAAAAAAAAAAAGATTTATTTGATGGTTAACTTTGGAACAAGTTATCTGCATTAACTTCCATTGTTTTGGCATAAAGTAGTTCTGTATATTTTACTAACAACAGTGGAGACATGATAAAGGATGTAGGCAGAGAGCCATAAACAGCTCTCACTGCAACACAGTGTTCGTGTAAGAGCATTAATTTTTCGGACTTTGATTGGAAGACATCTCTGCGCTCAGCCACTTGGATTTTCCTAAATAGAACCATGTATAAAACCTTGTACCTTAATATAACAATTTTAACTGCTGAAAGACCATTGTAAATCATATGTAATATAAACTTGTCCACATGATTGGAATGATATAATGGATATTGTAGTCCCTAACCACTAGCTAATGTTCTTTATGACACTTAAATAAATGACCTGAAAATAAACTAATAACAACATGAAATCTTCTAAACCTGTTCATGTGCATTTCCCAAAAGCATGCTGGAGAAAGACAACGTCTAGTTAGCACATTTTTTGTGTTTACATTCTCTCCAGAACATTTTTGTTCCTGCTACTCTATTCTCTTCCAGAGTCACATTAATTCTTGTTTTCTGCCACATTCCCAACAGACTCATCTCTCCATCCTCTATCTGCCCAGATCTCAGAGCTTGCAGGACTTTTACATTGCCATCCAGAAGTCTATAACCCGGAGAAAAAAATCAAGTGCTCCAGTGTTTTATTTGGAACCAGTATCAACTCCCTTCCACAAAAATAATCTAAATTTCAATTTCATCTATATTTATCTAAGTTTCAGAACATACAACCTCAGAGAGGCTGGCTATGGAATAGCAGAGCCAGGGCAGGAGTAGACACAGGCATAAAAGGCTAGATATAAGAAAGAAGTTCTTCAAAGTCATGGGGCTGAGACACTGGCATGGGTTACCCAGAGAAGCTGTGGCTGCTCCAGCCCTGACAGTGTTCAAGGCCAGGCTGGACAGGACTTTGAGCAACCTGGTCTATTGGAAGGTGTCCCTGCCCATGCAGGGGGGTTGGAACTAAGTGAACTTTAAGGGTTCTTCCAACCAAAACCACTCTAGGGTTCCATGATCCTAAAAAACAAGCTAGACAGCTACTGCAGCAGTTAGGTAGAACTTAGCTGTTGAGAGAGATGCACCATTTTTCTCAACTTTAGTTACAAGACACATTAATCACATAAAATGAAAAATGCCATAGCATTCTATTTTTCATATGGGAGAAGTATTTTATTATTAACTTCTTGTAGTGAAATCTTCTACATGTGAAAGTTTCCAGAAAAAAAAAATCACCAAAGCATACAAATATTAACATTTGCAACAGATTCTATGAGGTACTGTCCCCAATATTTAAAAAAAACATAAATATGTTTTACTTTTATGCATAACTCAGATATATTTACACACTTAAGTTTAGAACAGAGACTTAGATAACTAATTAGCATCACAACTTGTTTTCAAGACTTTCAAAACCTAATTTATTCTTATTTTTGAGGATCTCAGACACACGCAACAGTAAATTTTCAAACTTTATTAAGACTCTAAAGAGTAAGCCTTGAAAACTTTCTTTTTTTGCATAGTGAGTATAGATGTTTAGTTAAAAAGATGGGATAAAAATTAAACTATGCCCATATGTAATAAAACTCCCATATATTAAAAGTCAGAGTTTCAACCTAAATATTTGCCATTTTTAATAACACCTTTTTAAAAAAAAAAATGCCCCATCTATGTATTATGTATTTTATTTTCACTTATGCTATGAAACCCCTCTCTGAGGAAACCTACATTCTTTTCCCTGAAGCAGACATGTGCGTTTTCCCCAGCTTCTCCATAACATGTTGCCATGTTACATTGTACGTGTTTATTCACAGCACTTCATTTGCCCCAATGAAAAATTACTTACAGGAATTGTTTGGTTTTTTGTTTGGTTTTTTTTTCATGGCATCAAAAGTCACTTTGTGCACCATTTTATTAAAAAAAAAAAACAACAAAAAAATGGAAAGGCCATGATGTCACTGCTCAACAAATAGAAACCACATTAGAAAGACTAACTGGAGTGCTGGTTTAAGTTAGATCAAACTGTACAAGCAAGTTCTGTGTGCCGTATAGTGGTTTGAATAGCTGATCTCTATAAGGAAGGACAATTTGAAAGAATGGATATAAGCTATTAAGAAAAAAAACGAATCTGAATTCATAAAACCTGGCCTTTCTGGAACTGTAGCTACATTTGGAAGCAAAGTTAAAAAATACTGCTGAAAATGCAATGGATTTTTTTTTTTTTTTATTATATCACCATCAAAAAGTTTAAAAATAATAAAAGGAGACTGTCATGATCAGATATGTTAGAAACCTCTCCCAGGTCTTGGAGCTGGAGCACACACATTTTAGAGCCACTGCATTTGCTTCATCGCTGATGCACTGTCACAGCTTACAACTTACAACTTAGCAAACTCATTGTCTGATAATCTTTCTTTAAACATGATCATAAATGTCTCTTTGCTAACTGCAATATTTCTAGTAGAATTTATATGACTTAAAACACTGTAGAGAGCTTTTGTTATTCTAACACCTGGAGTCCATTTGGCTTATAAAGGCTGCAGTGGACAGTCATTTTTGCCATTTGCAGTAACTAAGACATTCTACTTTTGCACTTCCTTTCTTTCTGCTTCCTTGAATTTATCCTTTTCCCAAGATGAATTTCTTCCTACAATTACTACAAATATATGCAAAACTATACAACCATAGAATCATAGAATGGTTTGGGCTGGAAAGCACTTTAAGATCATCTAGTTCCAACCGCCCTGCCATGAGCAGGGACTCCTCACACTGCACCATGTTGCCCAAAGCTCTGTCCAACCTGGCCTTGAACATTGCCAGGGATGGAGCATTTGCCACTTTTTTGGGCAGTCTGCTCCAGTGCCTCACCACCCTCACAGTAAAGAACTTCTTCCTTATATCTAACTCGAACTTCCCCTGTTTAAACACTCATTACCCCTTATCCTAGTGCTACAGTCCCTGATGAAGAGTCCCTGTGCACACATATTACTGGCCAAGCACTGTACAAATACCACACTTGG